AATAAAAAAAAAAAAAAAAAAGAAAGGAAGGAAGAATCAAAAAAAATGAATATCGTCGTAATCGACGTCGAAAGAGACTTTAACGATCTGTCACGTGTCTGTTTAATAATAGATCAAAGGAGACCCGCGAGATTGACGCGCCTTCAAGACTGGATCTACTATGTATCTAAATTTTCGCACGACCGCGAATCGAACGAGCGACAACACGCTTCCGCCCACCTTTGACTTTCACCGATGATTTTTGGCGCCTCGCGTGTTTATTCGCTTGACAATCTCGCCTCGAAGAACTAGAAACAAAGTACATATGTAACGTACATTGCTCAGATCTCGATTCATGCATCCCTCGAATCATTATTTTTTGATTTATTCAAAAAAACTAAATAGCGAAAAGCTAAAAAATTTTTTTAATTATTGCAAGTAATTCCGCGAAAATCGTGGGACGTTTTACTTTCAGCAAAACGAAGAAGCTGTTTGCAATCATTAGTTAATAAATGTGTCGAGGAACGGAAGAGCAACGGACGTTCGATAAGTAGTCTTTAGAAACGTGTGTTTAACGACGCGACACACAGCGTGACGAGGGGGAATCAGAGAATCGTTGTGTGATCTGGCTCACCCATATGGGTGAGACTCTCGGGACAAAAAGCATCGGGATCAGAGGCAGGCGAAACGTACGCCAGCGATTGAATTGCTGGTACTGGTGGCAAAAGCGCGTGGGATTTAATACGCGGCGCAGGTAGCCCGTTGCTTGCCAATGAATTGAACGCGTTTCGAACACGCGTTTGCTCGCCATATGTTGTTTGCTTCGCTAAAAGACCTTTGTACGCTCTGCTAACGCACGTATGAATGAACGTGCGAATGACCCGAGCGAAAAGGCCCGAAGATTGGCTCGTGCCGCTCGTGAAAGCCGACTCGGTTTTCCCCCCGATTTCACAAAAACGACGAATTCACGTCCATTGTTTTACCTGAGCGTCTTCGTTTTCCTCACCTTGAATTTTATCGTTTCACTCGTAGCCATTTTCAACCACAGGTGGAAGGGTTCTTAAACTTGTATTTCTGTAAACAAAGCAAGGCAATAGCTTAATCTCTTCACTGTGAACATCCAGTAAAAAAACATCCCGCGATTATTTCACAACCGAGTACTACAAGCGGCTCCAATTTTCTGACAGGAGCCAATCGAAGCGTGAATGGTTAATTCGTTCGAACATTGCACATGTTCCCAGAGAGAAACGCTTGAAAAGACTTGCATGCGTCAAACGCGAGAAAAACGGCTCGCGACGCTAATTGGATTAGATTTATTTATCGTTAACGCGACAAATCTGTCGGCTGGCGGTAATGTAAATAATTACTCCGTAGGTTGGTGCCCGTGTCTCTCGGATACGCACGTATATTTAACCACGGGCTCGCTTGTCCGTCGGATCTTACCTCGAATCGAATCGAATCGAATCGAATCGATTCGATTCGTTTCGTGCCCGTGGCTGGCAACAATTGCTTTTATCAGAGCCACGGGCTACGCCGTGGCTCTCCTTGTACTCGGACGAACAGCAATCGGGACCGATCGGGGATCGAGAGATAAACCGAGCCGCGTGATCGTTGTTTGTCCGAAAGACAAAGCGCATTATTATGCACGTCGACGAAAGTTATGCGTTGTCCGGGGTGGGCGCGCGCTGATAACGAGCTCGTCGCGATACTCCAAACGGCGTCCGTCGAGATTGCATCTCGTTGCCTTTCTTTTGCGCCGCGCGAGAGCATTATATTTTCGATTACACTGATTGATTCCTCGTCGAGGATGAATCCTCATTAATCGTATATCGTTTCACGTGCACGCTCGTTTGCTTTGAACTCGTAGCGAATCTATTCGTTGGAATACGAAAACTTCCCATATTTATGTATATAGTGATGTATAAATGAATTTGGTCGAGTAGTAAATGTTATTTAAGCCCCTAGTTGAGCCTAGGTCGTAAAAATATAAATTTGGATGGATGCTTATGGAAAATTTTAAATTTTACAAGCAGAGACCGAATCGATATTACGGTTACTGGTAAAATATCAGTATTTTTAGGTTACTGTTCGATTACGTTTGATGAAACCGAAATGGTGCGAATACCGATAGGATGCTATCAAAACGATGTTAGATCTTAGGTTAACGAAACGATGTTAGGTTTTCGGTATAATATCTATAAATAAAATATTAATATATTAGAAAAGGAAAAAGGAGACAATGATTAAATGTTTTCATAAAGCTGCCGATAGTAAATTTGATGACGCTTGCATCCTTTATTATTTCTAATACTAATTCATCGTTGTATCTCCATAAAATATCAGCCACAATACTCTTACTTAATTTTAAAAGATGTCCGATTTCTCGATACGTTTTTCCTTCTTCTCGGTGAAAAATGACTAATTGCCGTACGTCGATAAATCGAAAGAGGAGTTAAATTAACGATTAATCGTAGAATGGAAGAATATTCCGCTAAATTACTTAAAAAAAATTACTGGAAATATGCCTAAGTGTCTGCGATATATTATTGAAGTTAAGGGCTACCTAACAAAATATTAATTATTGTTTATGTTAATAATTTTCAGGTTCAAATATTGTAGGTCTTCAAATGTTCGAATATTTTTGCTACGCTACATTTCGACATAGTTCAGTTTATTCTTTGATATTAAGAAAAGTATGTGCAATAAATAAATAAAATTTATGTCACTATAAACTACAATGAATGTTCTATTATATTATTAAAAAACTCTATTATATTATTCAAAAATCCAAATTTACTATTATAAACAATCGAAATTCACAACAATATTTTGAATAGCATAATGTCCGAATATTAATAAGACTCACTGTATGTAGAAGATGAAAAATGTGTTTTTGTCAGTAAAGCGGTACCTTACCGGTATATATTTCGGTATTTTTACCGATTGTGGACATCAAATACCGATAAAATACGTATGAAAATACCGGTATGACCGTTTTATACCGTGATTAAAACCGATTTCCCAAATAGCGGTTATATTACGATAATATGGGAGCAAATACCGGTATAATACCTAAACTTCACAATATTTCGGTTTTCAATTTCTGAGTATAATACCTAAACCTCAAAATATTTCTCAGTCTCTGTTTACAAGGATATTGTTTAACATCGGAAGGGATGATCATCGTGAGCGTTGGGTAAAGATACGATGGACAGTCGTAAGGTTTTAAAATCCAAGTAATTTATTTCGTATAAAATATCTCTATATATAAGTAATATCTGTATCTCAAATAATAGTTCACCTTTTTTTTTTTTACAAGATCTAGAATGGTACTCGCCCCGAGCTGTGCGCCTTTCCCTCCATTTTCTCTCGCGTATCTTACTCGAATATATTTGAAACAAAAAAATAAAAAAAAAAGAGAGAGAGAGAAAAAGAGAAAAAGGAAGGAATCTATCAGACGACGGCTCGACTTGCGCTTTAATTATTAATTTTAATTATATAATCTTTCTCGAGTGACTTCTCTACGAGGAATGTTAAAAGGCCAGTCGGAGTAAATTCACCTCGCAGCGAACCTCTCGTTTCGTTTCGTTTCCTCGCACAATTAATAGAATATATTTATATGTATATTGTACAATGACTAGTTTCTTCAAGTAACTTAAAGTGATTTACAAAAAAAAAAAAAAAAAAAAAAAAAAGAAAAGAAAAGAAAACGCAAAGGAAAAAGTATAAAAAAAACGAAAAGACAAAACGAAGTTATAAAATACCAAGCGCACCCCTCTTTCTCTCCCTTTCACGCGTTCCGTCTAGAATGCCGAGTCTTTTATCGAAGGGACAAGAGAACAGAGAAAAAAAAAAAAAAAACAAGAACGTTCGAGCAATCGAACGATCGTTAAATACTTTTACTCCGCGCGTTATGTTTCGTCCCATTCGTTTTATGGCGAATTATAATACTTCATTTCGCGCGTGCCCAGACATTCGTCAATCGTTCAATTATTTACAAAGTACACACGTGGCACGCGATCTCGTAAATGGCACTTTGGTGTGTGTGTGTATGTGTGTGTGTGTGTGGTATTACACACGATACTATTCGAATCATTCCTTCACCCTTATCCTTTCCTTTCTCCTCGCGTTGAAAGAAAGATCGACGACTGTTTCTGCATCGATCTCGAAAAATCGCATCCGTCTCGGAAACAGATTAATTATTGAAGAAAGAAATACGAAAGGAGGAAGAGAGAGAAAGAGAGAGAGAGAGAGAGAAAGAGAGAAAAAGAATACAAAAAAATGGCACGATTGCTTCACGGAACCGCGTCAAGCGGTTGGGGCAAGCGACTCTCTTTTATCGTTCGTTTCCCCGTTTCGTCTTCGGCGAAATTTCATTCGAATCGTCTTTTAAGTACAGTTTCAATGAACGAGCCCATTCTCGCCGATTGTCATCACACGCACACAACGAGACTATTTACAATGGGACGACGAAGGGATTCGAGTAAGCAAAAAGAAATGGAAAAAATGCACAACCATCGGAATCGGGAGTCGATCCGAGTTTTCTTTTTCTTTTTTTTTTTTTTCCTTTTTCTCTCCACGATCCTTCGAGAGAATTTGTCGTCGTTCTGTAAGTTCTGGGTTCGGCTGCTCGACGCGACGCGTGTCGTATCGACGATCTCGTTCAAAAACTTTGCGCGCCACGAATGTGAATTTTAATCGAAATCCCAGGTACTACTCGATATGTCCGTCTCCGTAATTCTCTCTCTCTCTCTCAGTCTCTCGGTCGAGTCAAACGCGAACCAACCCATCGAGAAACCGAACCCTCCGGTCATTCTTCTGATCGTCCTAATTTCTAATTGCTATTTATTTGTACTCCGTAAGGCACTTCATCGATCGAACAAGTTTAACAAAGTACTAAATGTTTTATTGATGAAAAAAAAAAAAAAAAAAAGAAAAAGAAAAAAAAGTAAGGAACGTGTCGAAGGAATCCGAGGAGGATTCCTTTTCGTCGGGACAATCACATCGAAAATTTTCTCGGAGAACCGTTTCCCCGAGATTTCGGCGCCTCGGGCGTCGTACTTTTTCTTCTAACGTTCCTTCTCTGGAACTCGACAAATCCGAATCGGATTCAGCAACCGTAGGCGATCGGGACAGCGACACCGGGACAACCGCCCTCCTGATGTTTCGTCAGCAGCGACATTCTGCTGAACGTTTTGCTGCACGAGGTACACGAGTACTTCTTCACGTCGCTGTGCGTCTGAAGATGCGCCCTCAGGTTACTCCTGTCGGCGAACGCTCGGTTGCAGTGCTGACAGCTGAACGGCTTCTCGCCGGTGTGCGTCCTGATGTGTCCTTGGAGTAGCCACGGCCTGGAGAACGCCTTCCCGCAGAGGTGGCACTTGCAGGGCAACGTGTGCGTCCTGATGTGCATCTTCAACGCGCCAAGGCTCACGTACACTTTCTCGCAGTATTTGCACGAGAAGGACTTTTTCGCCTGGCCCTCGGCAGCCGCGCAGTGGAACTGCTGGTGCTTCGACAGACCGGAGTAAGTCGAGTAGGATTTGCCGCAGTCGGGGCACTGGTACCTCGGTGACGTCGACGTCGACGACGACGAGGACGACGAGGTGGACGAAGACGATGACAAGGACGAGGCCGTGGAACCACTCGACGCACCTCCGATCTTCTCGATCTTCGGGTTGACGATCGCGGAGCCGGCCGACGTGCTTCCAGCGGACGATCTCCCGCTGTCGCTGCCGGGAGACGAGAGATCCTCCGGCGTGACTGGCGGTGGCGATCGGAGCGATCCGGAGCCCAGCGAACTCGTCGGCGAGAGGCCACAGTGATCGGGACTGGCCCAATGACTGTAACTTCTCGCGATCGGTCTCTGAATCGTTGGACAGGTGAGCGCGGCACCGTGCGGTGGCGGCGTGACCGATGGGTGATGCTCCGGCGACGAGTGCGGATACGCTGGTATCGGGTAGGACGGATAGAGCTCTGCCCCGGCGTGATGATAGTGATAGGCCGCCGGATAAGGTAAATAATGCGACGGGTAGAGCGGCGTTGTACGAGCCCACGCGGGTGTGGCGTAGTGCGCCAACGGTTCAACCGGCGTGTTCAGATTTAAAGGTTGCAGCGGAGCCTTGCTCGCCATAAAGTGTAACGGCGCTGACGTGGCTGTCACCGCTGCCGTCGACGACGAGTTGTCGTGCTGCAAAACTTCCACTCGCGCCTTTTTCGCCACCGGATGGATCGGCGCGATACCTACCGGCGGCGTGATCGCTTTCGTTGGATACGCGTGATGATGTTGCAGCCGTATGGGATGCACGTGACCGTGCATCGTTGGCGAGGCCGGCCTGCTTGCCAACGGGGACGAGGAGGAAGCGACATTGGCGACTGGCGAGGGAGACCTGGTGACGCGTTGTTCCGGCTCCTGGTGCTGTTGGTGTCGCTCTGCCGTTCTGCTCAGATCCTCTGGCTTTGTGCTCAGATTCTCCGGCTCGGGGATGTCGTCCATCACGACATCGATGATCTCTTCTGGAAAAGACGGTAGAAAATTTCGTTTCAGACGAACGAGGTTCTCCTCTTCGACGTTCTCTTCGAGTTTGAGGAAATGCAATTCGATCGGGGGGATGGGCTGCGAATGAAACAGTCGAGACTCACCTTTGATCACTTCTGGAACTTCTTCGGTGGGCAGGACGTGCACTGGCCGTTTCTTGAGTGGACAGTGACTGTAACTATTGTTCTTCTTAACGAAGCTCCTCGGTACTTCTTCGACCAGCATTTTGACTGTCTCTGGCTGACGTGTTCACCGTAGAAAGCTTTCGCGTGGCTGGACTTTTTTTCTGGACACCGCGGCGGTTGTTAATCCAGTGGCTGATCGGCATAAATCACACAAACCACAAACTGTCAAACTGGTGGTACGTGATCACTGCACTGCGATACACTTCCGATGATACAAAAATGTCCTTGTGGTTGGTCCTTTTCGTTGAATACACTTTTTCTCGTGACGAAACGCGCGAGAAACGATCTTCTTCCTTCCGAGGAGGAATGTCGGAGCTAAACTGAACCGACTACTGTTCAACCGATACCGAAATGAAACGAACTGACAAACGCTGCGGAACGGAGGAAGAGAGCGTGAAAGGAAGCGAGAAAAAAAGAAGGGAAGAAAGAAAAGGAGGAAAGGAAGCGAAAGAAAAAAAAAAGGAACAAACGACTGGCGGGTAAACTCGAGCGTATGATAGTCGGAGGAACGGTAAGCGTTGCTGGCTGTGAAAACTGTTCGGCTGCAAGCCGGTATCTGACTAGCAGGGGGGTACGTCTGGGCCTTTTATAACAGTTCACCCCACCGGCCAGGTGCAGGTGGCCCGCACGTGCTGCCTGACCAATGCAGGCCTTTGGGCCCCGCGCTTCCCGCCAATAGGGGACGCCCGGTCGCGGGCCATTCGCCAATCATTGGTTGGGCATCTGTTTCTCCGACTCTCGTATGTCCCCCCTCTCTTTTCTACACAACAACAGGAGGTGCAGGATGTTCGTGAGTGCGACGCGATTATCCTTGCCTGCGTTCCTCTCCTTCCTTTTCCTTCCTCCTTCTTCCCATCCTCTTCTCCCCTTTCTCCTGCACCTTACCCTCTCTCTTTCTCTCACCCTTGAATCAGGAGGGGGTACGATTCTCCTTCTCTTTCTCTCGCTCTCTCGGCTCGCGTTGTTGTACGGAGCAGATGCTGAGGCCCCTTCGTAACACTCACCCCCCCCCCCCGCCCCGCCGCGGAGAGAGAGATGCCAGCCCCTCACCGCTCACGAGACCTGGCCCAACGACCCGTCACCTCTGCGCTGTCGTCGGTGCACATGCACCACCGATTCAACGCGCTTCTCTCTGTCTCTCTCACGCGTACACGCGAGTTCGTGCAGAGGGGTACGTTTTCACGTACCCTACGTATCCTTGCCACGCCGGTGCTCTCACATTTTTCTATTCGAATTTCCGTTCGGTCTACCTGAATCTTCCCCTCTCGTTCTACCTTCCTTCCTCGAATAAGTTGCTCCGCACATGTGCACGTTTTTCGCCGTGTACGTACGTACGTACCACGTATAAAAGTGCACGCTTCTCCGCCGTGGCATTGGCTGCTGTGCCGTTTCTTTCTTTCTTTCTTCGTCTTCTCTTTTTCTTTCCTTCTTTTTTCTTTTTTTACACGCCAGCCGCATTTTCACGTGTGCTCCTCGCACACACGGGCAAAAGACGCGTCGATTGTATTGGCGGCACATATACGCGGCAATCCGCCCCGGTTCCCCCTTTCTGAATTTCACCCCTCGTCCCTTTCTCGCCGCCATCACCGGTTTCGAACGCGTAACGGTCGTGTCGCGTGCCACAGCATCGCCCACGCGTGCTGGAACCCACACACGCACGTGCGTGCAGCCAGGGACCAGCGCGATTGTGCGCGCGCGCGTGCATCATCCCCTCCCCCCCCTCATCCCTGATGCACGATTCATCAACGTAGCTCGATATTTTTGCGCTCGAGAGGGGGAGGATTCCGCGTGCCTCCATTAACGATCCCGCCACGCGACCGCTCACGAGATCATCCACCCGATAACGGTGCTCCTTCGTTTCTCCCAACGTCGCTTTCGCCACCTCTTTCACCCTCTTCGAGACGTAGAAGAGCATCTTGAGTCACTGTCGTCGATTTCGACGAATTATAATACAACGAAAGGAAATTGTAACTTTAACAAAGCTCTCGCATAAATATACGTAGAAATATTCGCACCAGACAGTTTCTAACCATGAAGTGAACGTCAATGGACACAACCAGATGTCTTGAGGAAAACCAGATGTCTAATCGCTTAAACTAAGCCTAACAACACAAACAGCCGAAGAATTCATTTTCGTACCTGACACGAAATTTGACTTAACTTTTATTATCGAGCAAAGTGTATAGCGTAGCACCGATCGTAAGTACGGAGAGGTATTCTTTTTGAAATTCTAGGGATAGAAGAGAATGAGTACAGCTGTAGTCGGACACGAAGGGATTTGTCGCTGAATTTACGAGACAAAGGAACCGGGTCGATCGATTTTCCGTGTGTCACCGTCGACGCCGTTAAATCAGGTTATCACCGCGCGCCGCAGGATCGAATCGGTCGAATCGATATTGAGAAACGATAAACCACGAGCGGCCCGAGACCGGTATGGACGCGCGCGCGTGGAGGGGGGCGTGATTTTTTGACGAAGGACTTGTATAACCCTTGTACTTGTCGTCGTAAACAGCTCGTTCGTCGTAAACACTTTATCCGTTCAGCTGGTTCCGCGATCGTTTCTCATCGGATCACCACGGCGATAAAATAAAGGTGACACCGCGAGGCGAGATTTTCCGAGAAAATTCACGGGCACGAAGTTTCGACGAGTGAATCAACAGGCTGATTGTCCAACGTTGCGAATTCAGCGGCGCACGGATAGACAGACAGCTGAGTTATACGAAGCCTTCTGATGATTCGGGAGAATTTGAGAAGTGCGAGAAGATGGTTGATAACGAGACTGCTCGAATTAACCTAAGCGTATAAAATTTCAATTTTTCGTAATTTTAAGTTCCAGTTGCCTGCAAATATATGTCGCAACACGTTCTGTAATACACACGAAATAATTGTTCGAAGCAACGATCTAAAACGAAGAAATAAAAACGTTGCTCGTTTATCGTCGCTCGTCGAAAGGATAGTCTCGGTGTTCGCCCCCTCGCGTTATAAATTTATCCGATCGTTAAGCGCGTTGCTCCAATTTTCTCTCACGTATCCTCGCTCTACGCTCTCTCATCTCATCCCACAAATCCCACGAATGTTCCGTTCGTATACACGAATAGTTTAGTTGAGAAATTAAGAAGCCAGTGTCACGAAAGTTCGAACGAAGGAACCGTTTCAAATAGATTTGAACGAATTTCGAAAGACAAAAATTCTAAAAATGACAAATTATTGCATTTTTTTTTTTTTTTTTTTTTTTTTGGAGCAACAGAGTTTCGACATCCGTCCAATTAAATGTTAGATGTTCGTGACTGGGAAACCATTGAAAGTTTAAAGAATTTAGGAACATTACAACTGTGGGAAGAGCAATATTTTTGCTTGACCATGTTCAAGAGAAAAAAACCATCTGTGAACCATGCGAAAGGAATTTGGCTTAATAGGGAACGGTCGAAAGCTGAAAATCTTCAATAAAAAGAAAGTTCACGCGAGTGGAAGCGACAGTGCTTACTTTAGCATTACCAAATCAATACGAAAGAGAATATTCGAGGAATAGAAGGAAGTGTCGTTGCACGTTCGGATACTCGGTTCCCATGCTGCTTGCGACGTATGCTCGGCTAACTCATTGACTTTCAACTCTGCCAAACGTTCGTGCGAATTCGCAAGCGTGCAATGGAAAGGCACTGTCTTCTCTGTCACGATCTCTCGGTTTTAAAATTTCAACAGGATGCCGCTACCGATATCCCCGATCTTCAAACTTTTCATCGTCAGCCTTCCAGGCAAGATTTCAAATTCGCGAATTAAAACGAATGGAATGCTGGTCCAGTAAATCATCGAATCGTCCATTGAGCTATTTTCGCGAAATCGCTTCCTCGATCGTCCCCTCTCTCCTCGGCTTGTCGCTTATCTCACGGGCGGTGTAAAAGTGCCCTGACACTCGACGCGCGGCCAACAAGGCCGACGATCAAAGGGACGACAAACAAGAGCCAGTGGTCATCGAGTTTGAACCGAGCCGACGCGGCGGATGTGTCACGTCGACTCAGCACGCGCGCCACGAGTCATCAAACCAATAACAATTCCTGTCTCGTGCAACGAGTAACACGATCGACGCGAACAAACCGGTGACACGATCATTGAGGTGATCGAGTTCCTGCCGAATCACCGGTAAATCAATCGTTCGTCCGAATTCCCGCCACGGTAGAAATGAAAACGTGCGAACATCCGGTCATGAAGATGGAAATATTGGACCGTAACAGAAAGTATCTTAAAGTATCCAGCGTATTCCTGGAGAATTCTTCTCATTGTCAGATCTTTTTTGTTGGAAGAATTTCGAAGAATATTTCGAACCACGCGCACGTCGGTAGAACTTTTCCCTACGTATATGAAAATTAAAGTTCAAGGAGTTATAAAATCCGGATTTTTTGTACGTTCACTCGCGAAATGAACTGTTGCAATGAACTGACACGACGTCGCACGCATCACCGAGACGAAGAACCACGAACGGTGGATATATTTTCATCCCCGACGAGCGGATGAAAGAAACGCGAAGAAAACAGCTCGGCATACCTGCCAGGTCCGGGTTGCCCCATATTTTATTAAAGCCGCAATCTTATTCCAGTCGTTCTAAATATGCGACATGGGAGAAGAGGGGTGCCATCGATCAGCGTGCGCGCCACCATTCCATTCCCCCGTGATGATCCCCGTAGTCCGAGGACGAGCCTTCGGTTACACGATCTCTTTTTACCGCGATCCGCTCTCGTATCGAAGCACGATGAATCGGTGCACCGGTTCGCCTCGCCAAATCATCTACCTGCGTCTCACCACGCGGTGAACGCCGCGGCCGCCCGACGTGCGCTTTTAAACGCTACGTTAGACCATAGACACGGATATATATATATATACGTGCATATACGTACATATGCGTGCGTGCGTCTGTCTATAATCCCTACAACCCCTTTCTCGTCCCGATACGATTTCGCGGCCGAGTGGAAGGGGGGGGGGAAAAAAAAGGCGAGACGGGGGAAAGAAACAAACCGGGGAGGAAGAGACCTGCATTGGCCGGGGGCCGGTTATTCCGGTAGCTGGCACTGGTTCCGCCACGGTATTTTTCATTTCTTCTTCGGTCGTTGCCGAGGCGAGCAACGAGTTCACGAAAAATCCAGCTAAATTATATCAAATACTGGCGTATGCGTTAACTCGCCTCGCCCTTTTGTTTGCCCTGTTGCGCTTACGTGCGAAACCAAAGGGGCGGAGTGGGGAGTGGGGGGGGGGGGGCTCGTTTTTCCCTGTACCGCCGTTCCTGTATTTCGAGTACACGCAGGTTGCTCGAAAAATCGCACTTTTTACCAGGCCACTTAAACGCTTTGCTCGCTGTGGAAAGCAGGTCTCGCACAGACGGGGGATACGAGTTTCCGATACGAGAGCTGGATCCTCTCTCCCGTCTTGGATTTTTGAGTTTCATTCAGTCGAGTGTTGTTCTTTCGCTACTCTCGTCGGGGAAACGGCTTGAGAATCTCGGACCGACGCGGTCCCTGCCGAGGGAAGATTTTTGCGGATTTAGAGCCGTGTAGAAAGGGGGGTTGGCAATTCGGTTGTAGCAGCATTCGGGTATTCTTCCATCAACTTTGACGATTGTCGCGTAAGCTTTGCGCAAGGCGAATGAAATCACCACTCTGACAATGTACGATAGCGATAATTTGTCAAACCGCGAAAG